TCCTGAGGTATCCCTTGAGCATCAGATTAAGATTTTGTTTTTAAGGCTAGCAAGGGTGTCCAGATAAAGCTAAGACCCATTTTACCATCTACTTACAAGATAGCACTAGAATTTAGAGTCTGCTAAAAGTAAAATGGACACCAAGACATTGTTGCTGACCAGAAATGTTCGTGTCCTGTTCTGTTTACCTGAACTCCTCCTCTTTACTCTTTAGCGTATCGGATCTATGCTTGATTGTTCCAGTTTGATGTGCTGTAGTCAGATTTGTTCTCAGAACAGAACAGAAGTCATGTTGTGAGTGGCGGTGTCATGCATGTGTGTGCTGCTATTTGTTTCTTTAAAAAAAAAGAGAAAGAAATTCTTATGGCTTCACTTTCTATCCCTTATATTGTGATTGTAAAATAAAAAAGCAGATGAAATAAAAGAGATGGTTTGGTGGACTGATGGATTCGCATCAAGCTATTAATCCACACACACAGTCAGATATTTAGTTGTTTACAGTGAAAGGAGCTTTATTACAAACCGTTCTTAACACAGGCTGTTTCTGATCTAGTCACTATGGCTCTTCGCCCAGTGCTGCATAGCCTAGGCCCAGGGGGGAGGTACAAGCTCTGAAAAAATAAATGAAATGAAGTTTGGGCAGAAGAAGGATGTGCTTGCAGTTTGATTCTTTCATGAACTGCCACTGGTTGTTGAAATAATTTGATACTGAATGTAATATCAATCCACTCCTCATGAACCTGATTGGAAAGTGTAACCTCCACCTCTTCCACGAAAGAGCGATATGCCAAGTGACACTGCTAACGTAGCAACTTTGTCACCCTTATTTAGTTTTAGTAAATAATTTTTGAAATAACTGGCAACAATCGCTGTTTACAATCCAACATCGGCCGGGCCATAAGGGAACAGGTGATCTGGGGCTACTGTGACAGCTGTGTTTACACTGTGGCTGAGAGACACTGTTTGAGAAATATCCACACTGATGACGTGTTTGTGAGGTCTTTTTTTTTTTTCTTTTTTTCACATGTTTAACGATGAGACTTTGTTGAACGAAGCATTTTTGGAGTGAAATAATGTCATAGTGGACCCTCCTGGCAGAGACATCAACAAAGCTGTTCCAAGTTAAACAGGAAAGTTTGACTGCAGTACCCTCCCTTCAACCCAAAGAGGGCAGCACTAAGACTGTTGAAGGTAAAATGTTACAGAATTAAACAAGTTCACACTAATATGTTAACATTTACACAAAGACATAAACACAGCACACTTAAGGACTGATTTGTCTGCAAAAAAAAAAAAAGTTGATTGGGGTTTAGCTACTCTTTAAGATTCAACCAATATTGCCATTAGTGTCACTAGTTCAGTTTCGTTCTTGTTTGAGTCAGGTTTTACAGTTTAAAGCCATTCAAACTTATTTGAACCCAAAAAGCCCCTTAGACCCACAGCAGCACTGCTGCTTTTATAGGTCTGTCTGTGTTTTCCCCGACTGACTGTGAACCAGCGAAAGAGCGGATTATTGGTGTGTCCTTATTAGTCCTTGACTCCTGCAGAGAGCCAAACATGTGAGGCAGGAATTAAACTGGGGGGAGGGCAGAAAACCTGTCCACAGTAAGACGAGAGACGGAAAAGCTCAAAGAAAATAAACGAAGAAATAATTACTTTTTTACTTTCACAATGAGGCATTTTTCACCCCTTTTTAAAATATAAGAATTTTATGTGACTCAAATGAGGAAGAGGAGACTCACTTTTAGTGCCTGGTTTTGTTATATGAACATGTGAAATAACACAAATCCTGCCACCTCTTTTTCTTGTTATTTGTTATTCCTGTTAATTATGAGACTTTGTTGATCAGCTATTGAGGTTTTTTCTCTTTTGACTTTACTCTGCTTTAAAGTCAATCTACAAATGTTGAGTCAATTGCCAGCCAAGGAAAAGATGACTTTGAAACAAATTGCTGGGGGGGGAAGAAAATCAGAAAACTTTCTTTCAAAAACAAATAGTTACATATTAATATATATGTTAAACATAAATAACATACTTTATTTGCATTTTTAAATGTTTGTCATCTTCCTAAAAATTCCATAATTTGTTTTTGCCAAAAGTGTTTTAGGCAACAACAACAACAGCAAATAAATAATAAATTAATTAATTAATGATCACTTTTGGCAAAAATGACTTAGGCAATTATTTTAGGAAGGTGACTATATATGCATATATAGTTAAATAAAAAGAATGATATGTTTTATTACTGACATGGACTACATTTATTTTTGGCTAAAACTGAGCTTTCTGTTGAACCTTTCAGACTTTCCGTAACATACAGGCAGCCTGCTGGATTTTATACACATTAATACGTAATGCCACTTTTTGCCACCTGAGGGCGACCTCTGCCATTATTTTTGGCCTGTCATTGACAGCAAAGCGATCTCACATCTTTCTCCGTCTTCGGTTTAAATGCCTATCACCGCTATTACATAACAATTCAGTTTGACTCTTTCACTACGTCCATCGTATTTCAGCATTCCTTTCATTATCTCTTCATCCGTCAGAATGCATGAGTGAAAACTGACTCATTAACTACATCAGATAGCAGCTCTGATAAAATCAAGACGCCATCATGAAACGGACATGTGAGCTATCCACGGTCTGCCTCACAGCCATTTAACATCTCGTCGTACAGGAACAGTGCAAACGTCGCTGATAGCTGATTCCAGCTCCACTTAAGTGATTGAGATTTTCAGAGCGATGTCTGAAGGGTTCCCCTTTTTTCCAGAATCATTTAATCTGTACCACTGAAGCGTTTTCCAGCTGTCATGTCAACGTCTCCATTCCTGTTTCTCATGGTTTTATCTAAGGCAGATCAGTAGATCAGGACATCACTAAGATGCTCTTTGAGATTCTCCTTCGAAAGCAACTATGTGCCTCGGCAAGCTGTAAGGTAAGGTAATTTTATTTATACAGCACATTTTTAGCAACAAGGCAATTCAAAGTGCTGTAGCACCAACCTAGCAAAAACAGGACTTCCTGTGTTATTAAAAATTGTGGTAATTGGTGGTTTAATTTATCTCACTAGCAGTGTTGGTAGTCTGAATCCATTTTATTGTGGTACTAGTCTGAGCTTTATTTTTTAATGTGTATTTAATTGTGGCAACAGTTTTGTTTAACCTATGACGTCCAAGAAGAATTTCCCCTGACATGGACAAGTAGCTACTGACTTATCCCATGTCGAGGTTCCAAGTGAATTGGAAATCGCTGTGTCTAACTCTTTGGTGTGAAAAACATGGCAAAGTGTTCTGGAAAGAACCACTGGAAAGGACCACACAAGCAGTGGAAGCATGTCAATCCAGAGTAACAGGCTTTTCTCCTTATAGTGGAAATTTACAGTCGCAGTATCCAAAGAACAACCAGCTGCCCAGCTGAAGATGCGTGAAATACTCTAAGATAAATTTGTGTTTTTCTATTGCAGTAGCAAAAGTTTATGTCAACTCTAGAAAAATTTTATTTAGAAAAGCCCAATCTATGATTCCAGAATCAGAAGCATTTGTTTTTATTTATACTCTACCTTTTAATCTAAATTGGAGTGTGTGTATGGCGTGGCTGCCGTACCTCCAAGCCATGTGGCGTTCTGTGTCTAGGAACCTTTTGTGAGATCATGATTTCCTGTTTTCTTAGGATATACTATAAGTGTTTCATAATTCAAAAGCCCACTCTTTAAAGAGAAAAACATATTTCAAGGTGCAGTAGAACTGCAAGGTGCGTCTTAATAACAACCATTTAATGACAGCTAGATGCTGTTTTCCAATTGCTGCTGAGACTTTAAAAGGAATCAAAATTCAACAACGGCCATGATGCTTTTCCACATGTAGAAAAACATCATGGCTGTTAAATTTTATGGAGGATCTGTGATGCTCTTCCAAAAAGCCCCAGGAACTTTGCAAAAAGCACTTGGCATTATGAACTCTTTAGATGAAAATCTGATTGATGAAAATTTGTCATCACTGGGTCCTTTGAGATAACGATCCAAGACCAAAATGGTTCCACAGATACAAACTCAGCCTTCTTCTGTTTTCTTCTGCTGCCCTTCTTAGCATGAACAGATGCAGGCTCCTGTTAAGGACTTGCATCCTGAATATTGGCTGCTTTTGCCAAGAAGTTTGTTTTCATTGCTGCTGTCCTGCAGAGGCCCAGCAGTCGTCCAGTGTTATTTTCACAACAGGCAAAGCAATATATCCTCATGACAGGAGAAAAACAACATTTTAAAAATAAGTTATGTCATGCCGTCTCCTGAGAATATTGAGAGAGAAGACTGAAGAGCTTGCCTGCTGTTTTTTTTTTTTTTATAATAATTTACTCATTAAAAAAGCAACAGTAACAACAACAAAAAAAATCAGACCTATGGAGTGCTTGTTCACTTAAAGCTAAAGAAACTATTTAGTTATAATTTCACTTTTGTACTTTTTCACATTTTTTCACCCTGAAGCCACAAGCGTCAGTGTATTAGTGTATTTTATTGTTTTAATAGTGATGAGAAGTTTGGCCCTTTTGAAGACAGCCGCCTTGTTCAGCTGCCAAACGGCTCTGAATTTATTATCATCTGTTGCCACCCCATAATCCACCCTCCACCAAACTTTACACTTAGCACAGTGCAGTCAGACAAATACCATTCTGATTTGTCGGTCTTTATGAAACGTTTTTGGCAGAATGCTGAAACCTTGGTTTCAAAACGAGGGAGAGCGTATTGCTCCTGGGTTGTCTGGCTGCCTGTCTGTTTCAGAGTTTATTTTCAAATGTTTTTATTTGTCTTGAAGATGCTGAACAAAATCACACATCCTTTTAAATGTAGCGCATGTACTTTTATTTCAGCCAAATAACATCAAGTTACAACACATCCAGTTCAGAGAAACCCAGGAGCGCTATAAAGAATCCAATTTAAAAAAACAAACAAAACATTTTTTTTTCTTAATTGTCTTTGAATCACGTTGCTCCCATCTCTGTTTTTGTGCTTGCAGTTTTACTTCCAGCGACCACCCACCTTCCCCTTGCCGTGGCCTTTTTTGCTGAGGGAGAAAAGACAGACGGGAAAAGACGAGTGAGGCGCGGCGCCGGAAGGAGACAGAATCAGACATGTCAGATTTTGCATCTACTCACAATTTCTGAGCATGTTGGATTCTGTTCAGTAACACAGTAATCTGTGGGAGGCAAAGAAAAGTGTTCTTGGGATTAGCAGATTGTTATTAGAGTTTAGTTAAAGTTTAAGAAGTATTCATCACCCTTGAACTTTTTCACATTATTCTTTTTGTCTTGTTAAAACCACAAACATAATAAAATGTATTTATCGTCAGATTGTTTCACTTATAACAAAACATTTTTCAAATAATCTGTAATAATCTGTAGTAATAGTACTTTTTTCATCAATATACTGTAAGGGAATTATTGACTTAAAACAAGTCCCTATTATCTCTCCTGAAAAGTTACTTGTAAGTTATTTTTATCTTATTTCAAGTGTATGAATATATTTAAACTAAAAACTAAACTAAAAACACTTGGTAAGATTTTGTGTTTTTCCAGTGTTGGTCTTTGTGTTGCTGTTTATTCACTAAAGTTCTATAGTAAACCTCTGAGTCCTTCACAAAACAGCTGGATGATACAGAAATGAAATAACAAACACAGCTGCTCAACGTAAGTACCAAGGAAAATATTCAGAAAAATGACCAGAAATTCAGAAACTGTAGAAGGCTTCTGCTGAATATGTTCCATGTTTACACAGCAAAAAATGTTTTGAATGTGCTGGATCCATGTTTTTGTTTGTGGAAACACAATTTCCCATTGGTCCACAGTAATGTGTATCAAGCAGCAGCCACACATGACCAAGTGGAGCCATTTACCTTTAACCCAGCTGGGTCACCTCTCAGTACGTTTACAGTTTAATTCTAATTTGTGTGATGAAAATGGATTTGCTCAATCAGCTGAACTCACCTTCCTCCTGTTACACGGAGGTCGTGAAGCGGGTTGTAAAGCCTACCTCGTATCTCTGGTGCTTCATTTGCTCCATGAAGTCAAACTTCTCAGATTCCAGCTGATGGATCCAGTTCCACATCTCCTGGGCCCGGTTCCTGACAAACACAGAGCCACACACCGTGTTTCTATGCTGTAAAGTCTTTTAGTGTGCGACTCTTTAACGAGTTTGGCTGGGTGAGTGTGGCACCATGCAGCGTAAAGTCCTTTGAGTGACATGAAAATTCAGCCAAAGAACAAAATAATGGACCACAGAGAGCTGTACTTCAGGATTAGTTTTCATCTCATACCTGTTCAACAACATTTATGAAATTATGAAACTGGGTTTATCACACTGGGTTACAAAAAAAGTCAACCTTTTGGAAGATGTATATGTTTTTTTCAACTGAACTAGGACTATTTTTTTAAATCCTGAAATGATGTACATTTTTCTCAGGTTTTTATTCTAACTTGATTTAGAGAAATACAATGTTCTGACTAAACTGATAACATTTTTGTGTGGTTTTGCATACATATGTATAAATTATTGCAAACGTTTTTAAATTAGTATGACAAACATTTGATTTTTTTTTTTTGCAAATAATCACAAAACCAATCTTAAAACCCCGAAGAGGCAATAATATAAAAACCCATCGCTGCACTGGATTACTGACTGACTGCGATGCGTCTGGAAGGGACTCACCTCAGGCTGTCCTCCCTCATGTTGTCGATGCCTAGAGGCTGCCGTCTGTCGGCCAGCGTCTTCCTCTTGATCTCCCTCCCCGTCAGGCGCTTGCTCTTCCTCGACTCGGCCTGGATCGGGGTTAAACAGCACACAATCATCCTCCACTTTTCCTACTTTTCATCATCGATCTGAGGTGAAAACACCAGGCACACTGACTTTGGCCAGGAAACCTCCAAAGTTGGCTCCCATGCCAGACAGCACTTTCTTCTTCTTCAGGTCGTCATCTGCCTTCTTTTTGGCCTCCTCTTCCTCTTTTCTGTGACGTTCTTCCTGCGAGGTGGAATGGACGAAGGATAGAGACAAAATATCATGTTTGCTGTTTCAATGCGTTATCGTTGCAGCATAGCAGATGTAAATGCCTTGCACAGGTTGATGAAGTACCTCCAATAGATGTACAGGGTTTCCTATGAGGTATTATAAGCCTGGCAGGCCACCAGGCCTACCTGGTGCCCTCACCAGGTTTAGCATTGTTAATTTATTTTAGTTTGTTCTTAATTATTGCCTTTTTAAAAATACTTTATAGTTGGTGTTAAGGTGTTAATCTTCCAGTCTCTCAATAATGCATAACTACCAAGAGATATTTTCATTTCTTGTGAGATATGTTTATGGTTATGACATTGTGGTATGGATACTTTTGCAAGGCACTCTACATATGACGTATGAACTGTACATGGCAGGTAAACTTATGATTTCATATTCTGAACAGGTATGGGATACAGTTTTATGAAGTAATGTGGGTCTTTACTGCAATCCTATTCTGTCGGTCCTTCTCCTTCTCGGCTCTGACTCTCTGGATCTCGGCCCTCTCGGCTCGACGGTGCTCCTGGAGGGAAAACATTTGGCCATTCATTTCATCCCACTTGCGCTCCAAACCAGCTTTGAGATTTGACCAGCCGCATGGGTCTTAAAGTGATCTCACAATCCGCTCCTTGAGCCCAATGAGTTCCTCCTCGTCCTTCTTCCTCTGCTCAAAGTGAGCATCGATCAGGGTGTGCAGCTCCAGTAAGTCCTTCTCCATTCGCTTTCTGTGGATGTCCTGTCAAAGTGACAAAGGAAACAGTTGAGAGACAACTCCTGGTGATCAATTGTTCAACGTCTAGAGACGACTGAAGAGAAAGACCAGAACCAACTGTTAGCAACTAGAGGGCTGGGTAGCTGATCCAAGAGTTAATCTAGAAGATGGCCATTGGGTGATTACTGAGCTAGAACCAAACCAACAGCTTACCTTAATGTTGCTAAAGCATTTTGTGCAATGATGGGACAGGACTTGAGTTTTAGTTCCAATGTATTGAGGGTTTTGTAGCAACAATAAGTTAATTATATTTCATGTGGAAAAACAATTTTTTTAGACATGCCTAATTTCGCAGTTAGTTTCAGATTTCTCTCTGACTTTTTCTGGAATGAAATGAAGCCATCCGCTGCAGGATGTGTTACGCCACCATAACCCAGCTAGAAACTGACCAAAGCAGAACTTAGCTCTCCGTCTGATCCCAGTCAGTACCTTCTACTACGCTCTAACTTTAGCCGTGAACATGGCACCTCTGTTTCAATTGTCTTATTAACTTACGTCAAAATCCACTCGTTCTCCCTCAGGAATCTTTGGAGGAGCAAGTTGGGGCACAAGAGGTCTTTAAGTGGAGAGAAGAAGAAAAAACCCCCAAAACAAAACAGAGCTTAGTGAAAGAAAGTGGAGGAAACTGCACAAAGACAGATGAAGCAATCTGAGCTTTGGTTTACACAACATACTTTGGCTTGGGGCGCTCTTCTTCTGCAGAGAAAAATGCACAAAATAAACAAGTTTAGAGTTTATTCCTGAGGTGAAAGAAAGGATTGTGAAACAGTGTAAAGGATGGTTGATATTTTGAAAAGGACAACAGGTGAGGTGTTTGGAAAAGTATGTTATCATCAGAAATTACAAAACAAAACAAGAATCCAAAGACTTTTGTGTGTTAAATACACCTGACAAAGAACTACCAATCAGGAAAAAGATTTGGATCATGACTGCTTAGTTTATTAGAAACACACAATGTCTGAGCAGGAAGTGGTAAGAGTATTGCATTAAACATACAACAGACCATAGAAGCTGTTACACAATAATCATCTCTATGGATGCCACAGATACACTGGGCTTGTAGAAAAGCATTTGAACCGTTCTGTTTTCTGGATGATACGTCAAACATTAACTAAGGGAATTATTTAAATCACTAACAGCTGCTTAAGTTGCAGAGGAACATGCTCTCTGCAGTCAAAGTTCTGGTGTGATTCTTCTCTCTTCTTTAGTCATTTCCTGCCAAGGACTCAGCTTTTTGACACAGACTAGA